ACCGCGCAAAGTGACGGTGGATCCATCATGCCTGACCGAGGAAGGGCCTACTTAATTTGAGTCACTGAAGCAATTCACATCCTCGTCCATTCCCTAGGTCAATTGGTTCGGTGACTTTCAAATTATAGCAGCCCCTTCCTCAGTCAGGCTTGATGGATCCACCGTCACTTTGCGCGGTACTTTTAAGACAGACTGTACAGTTCCGTTCAAGGTACGGCTGCATCAGGACTGGAGACACCAGGGGCTTGTTCTTAGTGCTGGCCACTGAGTCGCGCCGCCTCGGGCAGGCTCTCATCTGCAGGGGTGCGTCATCCCGTCATCGCGTCATCGCGTCAGCGGCTGCCGATCCGTCATCGCCGTCCGACGGCGTCCATCTCGGCCATTAACGTTAGCATCCGGGCCACTCGGGGGCCACAGGGGAGCGGCGCCACCGAACAAAGCCGCCGGGAACGCGGACGGACAGGAGCTGAGATCGGCATCCCATGGAGTTTCTTTCAGAATAAGAATCTTAACTTCTTCCGTTCTGCCTGCAATGCCTAGTAGTAAGCATTAGTTGATATTCCGTCCCGATCATTGAAATATTATGCAAGATGACGTAGGTAAATCAATTGGCAAGGTGAACGTAAGTAGTCAAGCTGGCTTCTTCTGTCTAAATAAGTATGTAACAATCATGAATCAACTACTGACATGCATCTCCCTTCTTTCTGGAACGTGACGTAAGCAGAAAATGGCGTCGTCCAGACCCCAGGGTCACCATCGGTCACTCTACGGCGGCCGTCTTTTGAGCTAAAATTCCACCGATGATAAAATCAACACTCGAACCTGGCTCAGGCTTTATAAAAGGCAACTTTTCCAACGACACCAGTGGAATTTCCTCTGTCAACAGGTGACGCGGAATGTGCGGCACTTTTCGTCTCTGTTCGCCCGGCTGAAGACACAAAGGTGACGCTATATGGCCTGGGAGCGTCCTGTTGGGGGGAGGGGAGGGGCGCTGCCCTCCCCTGTCCGCCGCGGACTGCACTGGTCTCATCCATCAGAACGGGCGTCTGACCTCTGCATAGTTGGGATAGAACCGGCATTCTCCCAAGGAGGGGACGTAACACATGCCTTTCCAGCGTTAGGCTCGGAGCATCCCACGGCCATTTTGTATAATTTGTCACCGTGAGATAACGCATCAAGGTATTTTTGTTATGGAAATGTGTGTGCAGATAAAGATTTATGTTATACAGAAACGTTTGATTCAAATAAAGTTATTTGAGATGAGCGCCGGGTTATCATCGTTCGATTTTTTTTTATCTCTGCAGACTAACCATTATAGGCAGGGATGCGGAGCTGTGGAAATTTCTGACGGCTCCGGCTCCGGCTCCGGCTGCGGAGAAAAAAATCGGTTCCGGCTCCGGCTCCGGCTCCGGGTGTAATGTCATGGCGGCTCCGGCTCCGGCTCCGGCTCCGAGTAAAATGATCCGGCTCCGGCGGCTCCGGCTCCGGCTTCTACTCAGTACATCCCCTATGCGATCAATTAAATACGGGTGGAAGAAAAAAGGCGATGGGATTGGTACACGTTGCTTCTGTATTTGTATAACAAGGCTATTTTGAATACCAGATTGTTTTACGCCTTGTACTGTCAAACCGAACTAGGTAAATAATTGCTTCCTCTTAAGAAAAGGAGCCGGAGTCGCCCCCTTTTTTGACGGCTCCGGCTCCGGCTCCGGGCTATATTGTTTCACGGCTCCGGCTCCGGCTCCGGCTCCGGGCAAAATATGCCGGCTCCGGCGGCTCCGGCTCCGGCTCCGGCTCCGCATCCCTGATTATAGGTACCTATAAGTATAGGTGAGAACTTCGGCTTATCTAAAAAGGTCTTCATAGTATTGAATGTAGATAATTAATGGCGCGGAAGATCTTAAAACTCCCATGCACCAGCACTGCCACAAATATTTCATACGTTCGACTTATTCGAACCCGCCTACTGCGCCTGCATTGTCTGCCCGCTCCCCTCCCTCCTTCCCATTCCCACGATCCTGTGTCCGGCTCAGATCATCCGTCCCTCCCCGTGGACCGTCCTGTCTGGACCGTCGCGGTGGAGTCCCGCTCCCGTGGCGTGGTTCCACGACGCCGGTATGCACCCGGGGCCGGAGCCATGGCTCATCCTCCACACACCAGTGGTACTGGTACTGGCAGTCGGGTACATCACCAAACGGGAATCACCTACGAGCCAATGATCAGGAAGGAAAATCGCCGTTTTTAACACCGTCTCTGGCCAGTTGGTAGCCACTGGCCATGGTCAATGGTCATACAGCGGAATGGACGTGAAAGTTGGGACGGTTGCCAAAAATGAAAATCACTGTCACAGTTGCGATGCATGATAAAGACCTATTTTATACACTTGTTTATAATATTTTAGGTAAACGTGACTTTGACCATATCGGTCATTTGCTGGATCCATGGTGAAGTTTCGGCTTCCTCAACATTTGGACATTTTTGGGAAAGAAATTAAAACCATCGGACCAGACACTTCATTCCGTGACAAAAGCATACATGCATGCAACGTTCATACCAGCTTATCTTTTACAGCATAGCATTCCGCCGTCGTAAAAGTTCGTTAGAGACTACCTCGGCGTTCTTTTTCTTCTGACGGGTGCTGCCCTCCGGCGTCCTGGGTCGGCTCACCGTGTCATTCGGTGGCGGGCGGGCACGCCTTGGTCGCCGTGGGCGTCAGACAAGTATCCGCTGGGCGGGGGCGGGGGCGGGGGCAGACTGCAGAGCCTGGCACGCCTGGACGATGTCTGGAGGTCTCTCTGGGTCGCTCACTGCGCCAAAATAGCCTGCGGGCTATCGCTGGGACGACTGGAGATGAGATGCGTGCGAGGGTGGGGCGTGGGCTCACTGAGAATCCACTGGTAAAATACCGGTTGATGTTCTGTGCAACAGCCGAGACGTCCATATTTCTACAGACGCGGATACAGTAAAAACGGAGCGCCTGCCGCCTTCTAATCACCATCGGGCCCGATTTCTCGATGGACACCGGCAGCGGGCCGATGCGTTGAACTCGGCGCACCGGCCGGCAGCCGCGCCGTTCCGCCACCGACGCGTCGCTACTCGCCACCGACTGTTCTGACGCTATCGCGCGTTTGTGTTGGCGACCCGTCGACGGTTTTTCTCCTGTGCTGAAAAATAGGACACTGAGCGAAAGTCAACACAACGCGCCACCAGCGCATCGATCCAAGTTGCGACGAGAGATGGTGCGGATAAGGGGATGACAACGATATTTCTGTGGTGGCGAAATGTGTAAATTGTATCTGGTTCAACGAGGTTTTTGACCTTATCATAAAAGTATCAATGACGTGAAAACCTGATGAACAATGGAAGCCAATCAAGTACAATATGATTTATCATAGCCGCCAGAATTGGTATTCATGGGTGGGCAGGAACCAGACACGAAAAAATGGTGGAAAATGTGGACAAGAGAGAAAAACACATTTTACATTACTCTCTCGTAATCCATAAGTTTCTTTAGCCAGGCCAAAGTGCCAGAATTTCTCTCAGGGCAGCAATGGTTCATCTTCCAGCTACCTAGCTCCCTCCCCTACCAAAAGGGTTACTGACCCCCGGGCCACCTCCGCACACCCCTGCTCTCCCCCCTCTGCCGAACGGGAGCCGTAGCAGGGTGACCCGTCTGTTTTTACGGCACCGCCACCACCGGTGCCGCGCCAGTTGCTGTTTACGAGGGGATGCTTCCCGAGGAAGAGGGGCGAGCGGGATGAGCGAGAGCAGAGGGGGACGCGGTCAGTGTCCGCTAGTCGCCGGTGGGGTGTACCGTGTAACGTCGCCGTAAACAGACGACAAAAATACCAGTCGGCGAAACATTCTGTCGCGGTGGGCAATCAGCGCAGCAGACACAGTTGCACGGCATGAGCTGGCCCTGGGCAAGAGGCGGCTGCGAGTATATGTAGGCAATCTTTGATGGGCAATGAGCTACATGAAATCCGCTTAAAAGCATACATAATTTCCATTTACGTCTCCCACCAAAGAAATAGACTACAGAACCACCAGGGGAGTAGCCTAGAGAATGCAGTTGCTCATTCACACAAACTACCCGGCGTCCCCCAAAATCTCACCCCCACTCCAGTTCCCCTTTCCTTGATGTCCAGACATGTTTGGTCTGTCCCATCCAGACAGGATGTCCTAGCGCCTGGATCTCTGTACAATCATGACAGCTGATGTCGATTCTCCCCAGCGGAAAGATAAAAAGGCTGAGATAGTTCCTTACGCAGCTAAGATTGACAGACAGCATGTGGGCCAGCGTGGCGCTCCAGCGAGAATTAATGTATCCACGCTGATAAAAACGTGTCGGCGCGTGGGCAGAATGAGCCAAGTGTCATGTCTGTCGGTCATTTCAGCCACGGCGGCGCCAGACACTCCGCTTTTCAGCTGTCAGCGGTGATGGGTGATGACTTCAATTCCGCTGAGACGGTATAAGGTGTGGATCAGTGGGGGGGGGGGGGGAGATGCCTGAAGATGACGAGATTGGCGAGTAATACAAGCGTAGTCATAAGCGATTTGTTGAAAATACCGAATTGTTACGTTCGCAGACCATAATGAGAACATTGACAAACTTTCAGAACGCCTAGCCTCCAAAACACCGTTTAGAAACACATTAATAAAAAGAAAAGCATACGAGGTAGGCTCGTATGCTCGTACTTGCGTCATCCTGCTACGGTTTTCATTTCATAACTCTAACGGATCCTTTGATAGTTTTGTTTCCATGGGTGTTACGATCGCAACAGGATGCCTACGGACGGAGTGGAGATGACATTTGTCAACGACTCATTCATGCCCCTGCTCAGCCATGGCCGCACACCAATCCTCTGCGTCGTTTTCAGTTGCTGGAAATAACTAAAAGCACTGATTGAGTACAAAATTAATCACCCGAGGCATCGAAACCACTGAAGAAAACGGCTGCGTTAGTTATAATGCGTGAACCAAAACAAAACAGACATACATCTGCACGCAAAATATATTCAATACACTTCAGCACATTATAGCCGTGCCAAAATGATTTCACGTTCAAAAATATTAGCAGTAACTCACATAAAATGTTTCAGACCTGCAAAATGGCTCTGCAAAAGTCATGCAACACACATTCCCAAATGGACGCAGTGGTGCAAAATCGAAACAGTGTTTGGGAACACTTCAAGTCCACTCAACATATGCATGGACGCTTCAATAGGCTAACAACACCAAACTCCTAAAAGAAAGCACAAGGCACACACATCAGCTATCCTCGATAAGGAAGTCCTGTATCTCCTTCCTCATGTTCTCCCTGCGGGTGCGAGCGGCCACCTCCTCCGTCACAAAGGCCGGCATGTTATCCACCTCCTTCATGTCCTTCATCACCAGCTGGCAGCCGTAACACAGCCTCTCCAGCAACTCCTCCCGCGACGGCTTCCTAGAGACAGTCTGCGCCGACCCGCATCCCGCCCCGCTACCGCCACAGCAGCCACCGCCCGACTCCACACAGCGTGGAGTATCAGTACCACAGCTTCCATTCTTCGCCGCAGGCGGCAGCACAGTCGCCCTAGCGTCCCCTGCTGCCGTGTCGGCCGAGTGCTGGTCATACTGAAACCGGTCCGGTCCCGAAGAGGACACCATCTGAGAGAAGCGCGTGGCCTGGAGTGCGGACGCTGCTCCTCCGCTGGTGTCCAGAGGCAGACGGCAGAGGGCACAGTCTTCCATCATCGCACCCACCGCTGAGAGCTTTGTACCAGTTCGGTACACCGTGGAAACAGTAGCCGGAAAACTAGCCTGGAGACCAAGTACAAACTCTTCCGTTGCTCGGCCGATGCTAGCACTCGCCGGAGCCATCGTGTCCGGTCCAACCCCTGGCACGTACTGCACGCGGCAGTGATGGGCGAAGAGAGCTACCTGTTTGGAGGAGAGCTCTCGAAGTGGACGCAGCACCAGCAGTCGCTCGCCGTGGCGCCGGTCGGCCAGAGCTGTCTGCTGGTGCGCGTGCGCGCCACGGCCGCCGGCCAGCCCGGAGAGGAGCGAGACGGCCAGCCGGGTCTCTGTGTCGGCCAGCAGCAGGAGTCGGATACCCAGCTAGGGCGGCCCGCGCCAGCAGCTCGGACCGCAGCCGCTCCAGCAGCTGCTCACGGGCCGTGCCAGAGCCGGCTGCTGACCACATGCTGCAGCTGCGCGCGGAGCTCCGCCAGCCGAGCTTCGTCCGGCTCCAAGGTAGCTTCAGACGAAACAGAATCACAGCTAGCTGCCTCAGGAGGCGCCTGCGAAGACCTAGCGTCACCACCGCCGCCTGTCGCCTTTCCCTTTAACTTGCACTTCACCCGCTCCACCACAGGAGCGCCACTGTCGCCCATGACCGCCTCCACTTCGTTCGATACACCGTACTCCGTACGTTCCGGCCAGCCTCTCCACCTCTTTCACATCCTGCTCTGGCACCACAGCACTCTCATCACCATCAGCAGACTAGGCCGCAGTCGGGGTCGCTTGCTGTCCGTCTGACTGGCACCGTCACTAACCAGACGCGTTAGAACGCTTAGA